CGGGGGGAGGCGGGCGGGCAGAGCCTCCACCGCCGGTGATTTTGGTGTTTAAACGCTACCAGGTCAGGGGCCCCGGGAGGCTCCGTCCTGGGCTGAATTCCAGTGTCATTTTCCCCTTGATTCTGGTGGTTGTGGGATGAGCAGGAGGTAAGGACAGACCGAGGAAAGGGAACATGCCTGCTCCAGAGATGCTGGCTGCGAACCAGGTGTCCTGAGGAAACTTCCTCGTCTGGTAACCGTCCCCCCCGACAGCCTCTGTGTTTGGAGAAGCACTGAAAGGTTGGAGAAATACAAACTGAGGAGCTGGGCCATCGCCCTGCCGGCGCAGAATCTTCATTTTTCTCTGGAAGAGGTGTCAGAAGGTATTTTTCTGTGCCCGAGTGCCCAAGTGAAGATTTCCGATGGCAAGTATAGGCAAAGATTTTAGGTTTCAGTATGAAGTTAATCTTGCATTTGCTTTTAATATTAGTAATTAAGTATAGCTGACTCAATTATGATGTTCTCAGTGTCATGTTTACAGACTTTAATATCTTTTGTATGCCTGGTGATCTCATCTGGGACACAGTTTGCACTTCTGGACTCCTTAGTGCAGGACAGATGTTTAAAAGCAGGAAGGAAATCAAAATAGATTAATGAAAGTGGCTGGGAATAGAAAGGTTTATTTAAAAGGAAATAATAAAGAAGATAAATGAGCAGATAAATGAATTGCAGTGATAAAGGAGAGGCAATAAACATGCTTACCGCTGCAAGCATTGGCAGGGTGTAAAATCCACGAGAACAAAAGGAATAATGTTATACATCATTGTTACCTGTTACTGCGAGGAGGAGGTTGCTCTCTACATTATCGCACACAGCCTGTTGATTTATCCATCGGCGGGCACGATTCCCTGGGTTTCTGGTGACAGGGACGAGGGTTCGAAAGGAGCGTGTACAGGTGCCTCTGACTGCAGCACAGGTCAGTCGTTGCCATGTAGGTACAGTTTTCTTGGGGAAAAAGAAGTATGTATATCTTCAACATTTTACTTGGTTATCAAAATCAGTCGTTATGAACGAAAAAATGTGTTGTTACTGTTAATTAGTGTGTTGAGAGGGTGGTATATCATGAAGTAAGTATAAATCTGTTGGTTTGGGCAGATTTGCAAATGTCCTAGGGAAGCAGCTGCAGGACCTCCAGGGCCGCGGTGGCTGGGGCTGCAAATGTGTCTGAGCCACCTAACGTGGCCCCTGCCCATCGGGTCGGAGGGGCAGGAGCGAACCGTGGGCTGAACATCGTGTCCAGAGGGGCTAGGCATGGTCCCGGGGCGGCTTGCACTGGGGTGCAGGGTGCAGCACAAGAGTGACAGCGCTTGTGTTTCTGAATTACTTGCTGCTTACAGGGGTGAGGACTCAGGTTGTTCGCTGAGGATGGTTTTCACTGTCA